CGATTAAAATCGTCTGAGTTACATTACCCGTTCTTGTATCCGCACATATATTTCCAACTGGTTTTTGCTCTTTTCTAGCTGTAAGTCGAACTGTTACTAACGTATTATTTGCCGCATTCTTCAGTTCCATGCCAACTGCATATGATACAGATAGAACGGGGAATGTTATATTTGGGTTAACACTTGATGCGACGGCAGACATACCAACAGAGTTATAAATCAATAGGCCGCTTAGATTCGACGGGGCTAATTGTGCTTTCACCCGGTAAAGACAACCACCACCGCCAGCAACCAAAGCAACAGTTTCAGTGATATCTAGTGTATTCCAATCAGAAGAGCTACAACCAAAATTTGGTATGACAGTTACTCGAACTGATGGTGAACTTGTTGATGAATTACCAGAATATAGTAGTTCATAGAAATCTGCTCCAACACCCCTAGTGTAGTTCTTATTCACACCACTAATATTTGAGCTAATTGTTGGGATGTCAGTCAAATTGAATGTACTCCAATTAAAATCTTGACGATGAATTGTTAAATCAGTATTGTCGGTCAGATACTGTGTGATATACTCCAGTGTCTTCTCGAATCCTGTAGTATGAATAGCACGTGTACGCCCATTATTATCTGCAATTTCTTGAAATGCATTTAGATGAGACATCATTTGATCAATAGTGATGGAAGTAACTAAATTGTTAGCTGAGGTAGGTGACGTTGTAGTTGCTATGCCTGCTGATGTCGTTGTAGTTGCTATGCCTGCTGATGTCGTTGTAGTTGCTATGCCTGCTGATGTCGTTGTAGTTGCTGTGCCTGCTATTGTCGTTGTAGTTGTTGTAACTGCTATTGCATCATCCTGTTTGTTCGCAACTTTAACAATGACACCGAGTGCTGCAGCTACCAACGCGAAAATGACAAGTGTCAAAAAGGCAATGATGCCCAGAAGGATATGTGTTCGACTAGAAGCTTCCATGATTGGTTACTAAAAAGGGAGAATAGTTCCTGCTAATTCTTCGCAAACGATAAGCCACTCGTCAGAAATTTTTCCCTTGATACTTTGAAAGTTTACTCGTGGCTGTCGAGCAAGTTTTTTAGGCACCTCGAAAAGGAGGATTTTCAGATAATGGCTACTTATGCAATTAATTTTTTCTAAACGCGTAGATTTGTAGAGCACACGTTTTTGATAAAAAATAACACCTTGTACAACTCTGTGTGACTGTACGTCAAAAAGCTACAGGCATTTTCCTATAAGTCCTAAGATGGATCACTCCATGCACAGCATTTTCTCTACATGGGAGTTACATCTCAAGTATTTTCCAATATTTTTTCATATACTTCTAGCTAGAGAGTTCGTGTTTATTTTATTTTAAACCAGACACACCTAGCTATATGGGCTGATCGGTGCCAAGTTTCCAATTCGATCTTATTTTTCTGACAAACTGCAGATTTCTAGAAAACCGACGTAAAACTACAAAAACGTTTATCAGCGAGTGCAAGTAAAACTAGCCGACTGCCATTTTTTTATATGATGTTGCATCCTCATCAGAGGGACTAATATTTTCAAATCACACTAAAGTTTTTTATAGGTGATGAAATAATCGAAAAATAAAAAGAATTTCGCCGACTTGCAGGCTGTTTTTCAGAAACCTGGACTCTAGAGGCCTAATCGCCCCCTCGCTGTTCACCATCGACTACATAGAGCCCAATGATTTTCATCCGAAACCTATTCCACGCGAGGAAGCATCTTACCGTTTCTTTTGAATATTATTTTTGATAATATTCTGATCTGTTCTGTTAGCTTATATCGCAACTGATAAGTAAGTAAGTAACTACCTGTTTTTTGACTTTTATTATATCAAAAAGTTTGTGATTTATGATCAGATTAATAGAAACTGCACATAATTTCCTTTCTAATAAAATCAACTTACAACAATATCATTTGTAACTAACAATAAGCCATAAATGTTTCTTGGAAATTTTCTTATCAGAACTCCAATAAAACAATGTTTTTGAAGAAACAAAGTAATTTATATAGTAGTCAATGAGAAAAATGAAGGTTAACGTCTGCAAAACAACAAAAAACTATATAGTCGTACTATGACCCAAAGATCATCATGGATAATTCCTTTTCGGTTTGACATATCATGCAAAAAAGAGTTTTCAAAAGTTTTGATAGATCCGAGTAAGATGCAAGTTGATCTAGGTTTTTGATTGAAACACGACCCGAAATAAAGTAAATTTTAATCATTTTCTATAAATTTGAGGTTTATCATCTAAACAGCTTGTAATAAGGTTACTAGGACAGAAGAGAATCCTTCTTTGAACTATTTTAAGACAAATTTCTTAAGACAGTTTTTCGTGTGAAAGAATTATGTTCCTTTTATGTTTAGCCGTGTATGATCGTCGTAAAATGATTTTCTTTGCTAAACCGAAAATCGTGTTTGTCTCGGGCGGCAAGTATTTTCCTGAGATGGCGCATATGAGAGAAAATTTGGAGAATGAAATTCTGGACACAACTAACGTTTTTAGAATCCTTATGGTGTTTTTAACTAAGATTCAGGGTTTTGTGTAATTCATTCAAGAAAACGGTTCAATTTTCTTTGCTAAACAGAAAATCGTGTTTAACTCAGTTGGAAAGCATTTTTCTAAGGTAGTGTCTACGAGAGAAAATATGGAAAATGAAATTCTGCACACAACCGCAAATCCTAATATGGCGGTCGATTTGCCCGAAAACGTTGCGTGCTCGAAATAAATCGTTTTAACATTTTTCTTCAAAAGTATATCAGTGTTATTTCTGCTAAAACAACTCGGTACTCTAAACTGAGGTATGACATTTAATAATTGCTCTAAAATTGATCAGTGGCACTTGCTTTCTGCAGAAATAGGACTGATACTTTGGAAGAAAAATATTAAAAACGATTTATCTCGAGAACGAAACATTTTCGCGATTTTCTGTTTAGCAAAGAAATTGAGTCTTTTTCTTGAATGAATTGCGCAAAACTCTGAACTGTAGTTAAGAACACCGTGAAGGATTCTAAGGATTTTCAGTTTCGTGCAGAATTTGTGCATTTTCAAAACGTATCGTAGATGTCAAAAACCCACTCCTAAACCTTTTTTGAGTGTTTATTACCCGTCATAAAAAGGTTATAGTCGGAGGTTTTTCACATCTACGATACCCCTCCTTGGAGTATTTTACCAAACCACAAAGGGTGGCTGATTGGGTTTTCTAAACCCTTTTAGATTTTGCACACGACACTGTTTTTTTAGAGTGAAAGGCTTCGAGTGGTAATCAAAACATTTTTTGTCGCTAAATATCTTGAGTAACACCTCTTCAGATCAAAAATTCAACTACAATTACATTTGAAGGGATCATCATTGGCAGTACACTTACAATATCAAATGAATATTTTAGACTTTAGCTGGTACAATGACGATACTTTGACCGCGATGCTTTTGGATAGAAATTCAACGAGCTGCCATAATATCCTTTCGAATGAACAGTATGTAAGATATGATCCCGGAGGTTACAATGACGATTAGCTCTTTACGAGGGAACATTCCCACGGGTCCGACGACGTTCGCGCTATGTTATGACCATTGCTTTGACCCATTGTGGTAAGAAAAGGTCCAACAGGATTTGTGTCCTTGTTGCTTTATTACAGAGAAATCAACGTCTTAAGTTATTTATAGAAGATTTTACTCTGTAACTTTATTGTTTTGTTTCTCAGTGACCAAATGATATAAAAAGACCTAAACGAAGAATATGTAGATGCAACGTAATTAATGATAATGATGCTGAGCAAAAAAATGATTAAAACTTAATTGTTTACGCCACTAACTGCATTGACTACTATCACAATGTTGTTCGTAACAATTATCTGATGTATAACTAAAACATACTTCTTTAACATTTCGACATGCTCCTGGACTTTGGTGCCATGAATATGAAATCATTGTCTGAAATAGTTTTGATAATAATTGATTGTATATCGACGAATTTAAACGAATAATATTATGTCGTTCACTCATATTTATATCACTTTCATCTAAACATACACGATCATAAACTTCTCTTCCAATTGTTTTGTAAAGTATATTAAAACAAGTAACGCTCATCTCCGATTCGCAAAACCCTTACTGGAAGGATGCCTCTCAATAGGCATTTTTGCCCAATTCTAAGCAGGACTTAAACTTTAAGGTCAAGATAAGATACAATGAATAATCATGGTAGGCTGTCATTGTTGTATCTTATTATGTTGATAATCAGGACAGATGGACCCGCAAAGGAAAGTAAAGAGTAAAGTTTGCATTGGTCAAAGGTTTAATTGAAAACATAAATTTTTATCGGCAACTTTGCAATTTTTGAAAAGGATACTTCATATTGAGAAGAAAAATCCAAAGATTTTTGTAAATTTCTAGGTCGGGGACTGCACAAAAAAACCATGTATTACACGATAAAACTAGTCTAACCGAAAAAGGAAGTGAGGGACAGAGAAGATATCCCATTCTTGATTTTTCATGTAAAAATGAAAGGGAAGGAATAGACATTCTTTGCGAAACAGTTGGAGAGACCGAGACAGCATCATTCGACTAACATTTTCTGCACACAATTCTAAAATCAGCGCTTTTAAAACACATTTCTGCTACAAATCACAGTATTAAAAGTTAGTAGGAAGCAGAGGTCGACAACTCCATGTCCGGACTTGAAGGTTTTTATGACGAACTTGGGCTTGATAAAAAAAAAGGACGGAAGACGACACGAGCCAAAATCGGCTCCCTCACATATAGCTCTTATATTCACGGATCTGATGTAGTCTTTGTCTGCCATTATATCAAACATATTTTTAGACCTTGAAAAATCCTTTTCAGTGACCCTGGGAACAATTTTCGTACAAAACTATTCTTTCGTTAGATGAACTTTCGTCAAAGTATTTTTATCATTTTATCTCGTCCGCTTACAGCAATATCAGCTATTAAGAAGAAAATGTAACTGAGTATTCTAACATCAAAAATACTCAGGAAACTGGCATGTGAACAAGAAAAACGAGATTGTGTGTAAACATTTTCCAATAAAATTCTATTAATTTTTTTTCATGAGCTGGGCAATTTTCATCGGATTTTCTACGAGTCCCAAGACTGACACCCTGTGACTGTTAGTAGCCTTCAAAGCCCATGGACTAAAGGTAATCGACCATGCTATGTCTCGTGGCAATATTTGTTTCTAGAAAAATTTTTAAAATCTGGTGCGTAGCCAATTTACGAAAATGAGGATTTTCAAATTGTTTTCACATAATATTAAAAAATTAACTATTCAGTCAAAAGACATCAGAATGAGTTGAAAACTTCCGGTTATGGTTGATTTTGTTCGCTAAACGTCATTCGAAGATCGAAAAAACCGAAAAATATATTTTTATTAATGAGTTTTCGAAAAACCTTAGAGTTTTGTAAAAGCTCTTTCTAGACAACCTATAAATAGGATATAGAAGAGCCTAAATACTCTACATTAAAGATGTACACGGGTACCATTTTCGTAACCGTACCCGGCCCGATCCGATAACTTTGTACCGGTACCCAACTTATGCCTAAAAACTTTCTTCTTTTTGTTTTTCTAGCTAAACTCCTGTATTTTTTCACTGAGATTTTGTGGGTTTTCCACTAAAACCTTCCAATTTTCGTATAAATTAAAAAAGTAGAACCCTTACCCGTAACTGCACTATCCGTACCCGACCTGCACCCGACAACTTCGTACCCGTATCCAACCTTTGGGTCGGGTAGGGTACGCGTCGGATACGGGTTGGGATGCACATCGCTACTTCACATCCAAAAGTTTTGAACTCGTTCTGATGTTCTTTGAGTGAATAATAAAATTTTTAATATTGAAAAAAAACTGAAAATAAAAAATGTCGTAAAGCTCGCTATGGAATAAAGCCGCGGAAAATCAAGATCTCGCTTTACTCCCATTGTTTATAGCGGATCATCGGCTACCAGTTCATGAAAACAAATTAATAGAATTTTATTGGAAAAAGTTTACACACAATCTCGTTTTTCTTGTTCACATGCCAGTTTCTTGAGTATTTTTGATGTTAGAATACTCACGAGGGAACGTTCCCAAGTGTCCAATCGCTTTTTAATCGAAATCTAGTGGGTTATAGGTTATCGATCATGCTGATTCCGAATATGAATATGGGAGTTCCCCTTAGCCCTTCGAAGATCCGGTCTTCTGGAAAACCAGTTTTTTAGAAACTCTAAAAAATGACAAAAAGCTTTCTTAATCAGGCAAGATTGTAGCGCGCAAATTTATGATTAAAATGAGACATCTCCCA